TTCAGTGGATGTCGTTGGTTACTTTCTGTCATTTTTGGGTTAATTTTACTCTTGTAAAAATGTTTTTATTTTCGTTTGAACTGTTTACATTTTTCAAAGTCAATGCCTTATATATATACATGTACTATAGTATCTGATAATACGGTATGAGTATTTGCTTATTGTTGACGACAGCACGAGCCACTGTAGTCGTAATTCACGTCATTTGGACTCTGTTTGATAGTTGGACGCTCCAAACGGATCCAGGTATATACATGTCGGAGTGTAAGGAATAAATCGAAAAAAAGAATGCATGCTAAGCATACTGATGCTTTTGAAGAGAAAATATTTGTTGAACCGGGACAGACTGGCGGACGGACAGACAGAGTGATTGCAATATGAGTGCCGGTACAATATTTTATCAGTGTATGTATCTTAGATGCTAGTGGTAAGGAAGTCTGGATCAAAACGGGTTAATCTTTACTTGTTAAAAAATATTTTATACTATTTAGAATAATAATTGCATGCCTACTGGATATTAATACAATAGAAAGTCACAAGGATAATGGAAGCTGTGAAACACCATTTTACAATAAAAACTAAGCTTTTTGATACAAAGAAACATGGAGAAACCAAACAAATTATGCAACAAAACAAGTGTTGCTAGAATAGTAATATATGCACATAAAACATAAAATATATAAACAGGTTTTTATTAAATATGGGATTGACTGGTAGCAGGTTAGCCTCGATTACGGGTTCAATTATTTTGTTGGACCCCCCTGATCGAATGATTTTAAGACTGGATTTTTCGGCTTCATCACCAAGCATGATGATGCATTCACGAGTAAGATCAGGTATTGGTTTAATCGAAGAAAGACAAGTGTGTCTTTGTATCGGGTACGCTAATTTACCTAGCATATAAAAATGCGACTGTTAGTGTTGGTCATGTACAAAAAGGTATAATCATTTATCATTATCATTTCATCATCCTTAATATATATATGTAATATTTGTCGCTTGATATAAGACAAACATCAGTATCATCATCATCATGATGAGAACTTATTTTACGCATGCATTTCTTTTCTACATAGTTTCTATAAATGTCCAAGTTAAAGCTAATAGAGATCATAGAAGTATGTTTATCAAATGATCATGTCTACTCACAATTAAAACATTTAGAAAGGGATTGACTCGTCCGACTAAAACGAAGCACAAAAACAGCAATTACTAGTATTTCCAAATAAACTCCATGTACCGATCTTAGAGTATTCACAGCTACTGAACACTATTTTAAAAACAACTACAACTAATAAATACAGAATAATTATCCAGTCTAGAATATTAATCAATTATTTCGTACTGTTACACCACTGTATTAGGTAAGTGGGCCCGTTAACATGTTTAACTCCGCCACATTATGTATGGATGTGACTGTCCCAAGTAAGGAGCCAGTAATTCAGTGGTTATCGTTTGTTGCTGTGCTTTCGTTCATTTTTTTGTACATTAATTTGTCCGTTAGTTTTATAGTTGTGGTTGTTTTACATTTGTCATGTTGTGGCCTCTTATAGCTGACTATTCGGTATGGGCTTTGCTCATTGTTGAAGGTCGTACGGTGGCCTATAGTTGTTAATTTCTCTGTCATTTGGTCTCTTGTGAAGAGCTGTCGAATTGGCAATCATACTACATCTTCTTTTTTTGTACATATCACAAATTAAGGAAATTTTTTTTGGTGCCATACAATTTGTGATTATGGCCGGATCCAAGATATTTGAAAGAGGGCATAGTTTCCGATAACTGAATTTATACTGCCGAGCGGAGCAACGCGAAAAAAAATTAGACGATTTTATACTCAACATTTGTATAGATAACGTAAAAAACGTGAGATTTTCAAAATTATTTTGCGATCGAAAGGGGGGAGTACGCCCTCTACCCATGTATCTGCGAATGCACGTTTAGGTATACATGGACACCTCGTCCAATGCATTATTATAGTTGAAGACTAAAAAATACTATTTGATAAATGTATCAATGATATAAATTTCTGTCAAATTATCTTGAATTAAATTATAGAATTTTTTTTTTAAAAGTTAGTCGCGTACACCTTTTACATTCGGGTGTGTTGGAATCTACTTTTTAAACGTTAAAACTTATAAAAACAAAAAAAAGAGATAAACTTCTCGCTTCGGATTTCATTATTTTAATATTTTCATACTAAATTTTTATTTGGTAGTTTTTAAAATTCACATTTTGAGAAGAACTGAAATATGGGTCAAGTGAAATGACAAGAAATGATGGGTGTATTTGATTACAAGTTGATAGCTTAAGTATTCCATTAAAATATTTTTGTCAATAAAATCTTTCAAAATTTAATAACAAAATATTTAAAGATTAAAAAAAGTAGTTGGGATTGATTTTTACATTAAGTCTATATCTACAAAAAATGCGTGTTCAAAAAGCAAAAAGTGCATGGAGTGTATGCTCCCCTCCGTCATGCTTCAATGCAATAGGACGAAATACGTTGAGTTAGGTCGGTTATGTCGAGTAAAGTCATTTTATTGGAAATCTCTAATACAACTGCATACTAAATATCATTGACTTAATATTAGTGGCATGTTCCTCTTAAACTGATCAAAGCACTAACTTTAACATGTAAAAAATGCAAAACATTCAAAGTCAAAAGACCATGTCTGAGGGGGCGAAGCCAAATAATCTCAATGGAAATGAGATGTGCCAATCTGAATGCATCTACATACTAAATACCATTGACCTACCACTAGTGGTGCCCCTTAAACTGACATAATCACAAATTAAAACATGAAAACTAAACAAAAATTTCAAAGTAAAAAATCCATGACTGAAGGGGCGGGGCCAAATAATCTCCATTGAAATGAGATGTTCCAATAATAATACAACTGCATACCAAATATCATTGACCCACCACTATCGATTCCCCATAAACTGACATAATCACAAACCAAAACCCAAAACATTGTTGACGCCGCCGCCGCCGCCAACACCGTCGGAAACAGCATACATAAGTCTCGCTTTTTGACTCCATCTAGGCAAGAAAAAAAAAAACTGAATGGGTCTAAGCACCCGCTCTTCCTCCATGGCGAACATATACCGCTGAGACATTTATCAAAGTGAAAATCCTGAATAATTACAGGTCTCTTCTTTGTCTGCAGAATTTCAAACAATGACGAAGAACTGGATCTTTTTTTTTCTTATTTTTTTTTGATATCTTAATTATATTGGTGTCCTTACAATAATCGAATGTCATAATGCTGTGTCTTCCAAACGCTCCACGAAACATATGTCTAAACTATTATCATAAATTTTATAGGTAATCAAAGCCGATCTTCAAACTTATTGAGAAACTACCTACTCTAGGGGCGGTGTGAATTAGATGTGTTAGTCTGTTAGGTTAGAGTACATACACTCTATGTCTCTCACCTCTTACAATAGTAAAAACGCATTTCACTCCTATCCTTCACACAAGTATTCCCTATTCCAAATTTAAAGAAAAAGGTGAAGAATTGGTCTTTAATTACCTTGTTGCATAAACAAAGAATGTCCGACGTAAATACAAATATCTTGTTAAACGATGGACAAATCATACTTTGTAACAAAACTTCTCTGATTAAAAAAAAACAAACTCTAAAACTGACATTATCAAGCTGTTTAATTTCTTGATCGACAACATACTTGTTACGTCTGTAGGTCGTCATTGTTAAAAACAAGTAATCAATATTCCCAAAGGAACCAACTGCACTCCTCATCTTGCTGACTTGTTCCATTTTTCACATGAGGCAGACTGCATACAGGAGTGACTATATATTGAACATATATATCCCATCGAACTTTAAATAAAGGATACAACTGTTACAGATGTCTTTGATTTTTTTACTCTTTATACAAATATTCATTATTCCGAGCAAAAATTAAAAGAATAAGTCCGGTCTTGGTCCATACAAAAAATGACCAACGTAGATACAAGTATTTTGTTTCACAATGTTTAAGGGAGGGAGTAGTCCTTCTTAAACATGTCGCAGTGAGTTTTTATCACCTTAGCGACTGCAGCTTCTAATTTCCATGTTGAATATATATCATCATGTTTTTTTCAATTTTGACTCTTCGTTTTCTAATTTTTTCCGGCCCTTCACACATAGCTTGACTGCACGTGTGCTGTTTGAACGATTTCAAGCCGTGGGCAAATTTCCACATTCCATCATTGGCGTTAAACCTGAAGTGATCTCCTTTCTTATTCCTTTCTACAGAATTTGGCTTAAATACTTAAATTTTTAAATATGACGTATACATATATGAAACTGAGGCTGTAACCACGTGTAAATAGGATTCAGATTTAGCATACATGACAAATACTGGTTCCAAGATATGATCTCCATGTTTGATCTCATAGAGAGAAAAAAAAAGAAAAAACTTGGGAATCTTACCAGTATAAATACAGTTTAATGGAGGTCCAATTAAATTCTAAAGAGGACCCAAAGTAAAGGGAAGGGTAGTGCAGAATTTTGATATAAGCTTAAACTCTTTTAAAGAAGTTCTTGGTACTAAATAAATGCTAAAAAATGCCAAACAACCTTTAAAAAAAAGTAGTAGTGCATGTTAACTTTCTATTCCAGGATACGATTTTTTTTATGAATCTTCATAGATAGCCTTAAAAGGAGAAGACGTTATTGGAAGGACAACCTATATTAAATGAAAAAGTTAACAAGTAGAATTTACCAAAATATGGTTTATCTTGGGAGATTTAAATGAAAGCAACATAAATATGCAGACTTTCAGTTTACAAATATTTCATAAATAACGACTCAGCAATGAGCATAAACGCAGGGTTTACAGTACATGTGTATAAAAACTAAAGACAAATCCCTGACACTTGGGTCATAAAACATATAATTTAAACTGTAAAGGGTGTGATTTTATTATTTCAAAGGTCTTTTGTGATTAAGACAACAATCTTGCTTTGAAGTTATGTAACAGACAGATTTAAACAGTTATACAATTTTTAATATATTTGTATATCAAACTAGTAACTGCATATATACAACAGTTGCAAATTTTTTTGCTTTATTCAAACTGTTCTAGCTAATACATGTATGTTAGCCCAATAAAGTTAGAAATATGGTTAAAGATGATAATATGAAAAGCAACTATAAGTCGCCGTACGGCCTTCAACAATAAGCAAAACCCATACCAAATAGCAAGATATAAAAATCCCAAAAATGACTAAATTATATGTAAAACAGTTTAAACAAGAAAACTGACGGCCTGATTTATGGACAAAGCAATAAACGAAAAACAAATATGATATATACAGCAACTACATCAACTGAATTACAGGCTCCTGACTCGGGGACAGGCGAGTTAAAATTCGTCAACAGGAACTAAAGAACAAGCAACAACTGAGTTATGATCAGGCTTGGTGTATGACTGTTTCACAGGAAAGTTCCTTCAATAAAAATTAAATCAATCAGAAAATTGTGTCGGAGAGCTAGTTCTAAGATAGTTCGACTGGATCTAAATTATTTATCCCTAATCAGCGAACGATTAGTTCTGTCAAGCTAATGTGTTTGTATAAGATTCAAGAGTGACCAAAGTATTTATTTTTTCATATTGTCTAGATTGCATTGCAAATGTTATTGTTTATATGCTATATGCCCTCCTGGGGCCCTAATTTGGTGAATATTCTATTCTATTCTATTCTATTCATTAGTTCAACAATTTCAATTTACACCAGCGGGCGAAGTGGCTTGAGTCATTGGAAAAATAAGAAAACATTTGCTCTCCTATTCGTTCCCTTGCTCGACGAACTACTTCCTCCGGATCATAGGTTTTAAATTCACTCGAGTAATCAAATACAGAAACTGATCCATTAAACGGAACTTTCAAAATATCACTTTGTATTTTTTTCTGTGTGAATGGCCCCTTGAATGCATAGTGTGCAATCTCGCACTCAATATATTTGTCCTTACGACTGAGGACATCAAGAACCACTGAACAGTGTAGAAGTCTGAAATAGCTATACAAAATTATGTCCCCTTTTTGTATATCGTCTTTTTGTAGAACTTTCATTTTTGTTACACTAAGCATTTTCTTATTTCTCTCGAAGCACATTTTACAAAGCATACCATGTTCATATTCGACCTGGTTTCTTAATAGTTCGTCACTAAGACCACGGAATCCTTTCCTTAACTTAAAAAATATTTTAAGAACAATCCTTACTTTTCTTATTTGAACGCTGAGTCTTGTTCCAGTCACGCACCAAGACGCAAAATGTTCGCAATTATTATCAATAATATCATACCGAAATTCCTCCTGGTCTACTTGTAAAGCCCCAATTGCCCGTTTCACCACTTCTTCTGGAGTACTCGGCTTTATGCTTCCCCAATATTTACAAATCATCACTATGTCTGTTTTTAAATTGACAGTTTCAATTTTACGTTGTAATTTGGCTAGTGTTCCTTTAGGACGAATTTTGCCCCAAACGGCACCCATCGGACTGTTTGTCTGATGAATTAGTTCTAAATCAATCTTATCACTGTTATCATCCTCTGGTTCAATTACTCTAACTACAATTGCGTGATGATCATAAAAACTCCTTGAAAGAATGATATGATCGCCTCGGAGGATTTCCTTCCAAGTTTTAACTTGTACTGGCTTAATACAATCCATACAACTTCTAACAGTCTCAATATCTTCATGTTTTATCGATTGTAAAGATGAGTGTAAATTATTCGAATCCGTATCATCATCGGGAACGCCCCCAGACAATCGGTCTCTTTTTGATTTTATCCCTTCATCGTTGTTTGTTGCCAGTCGATAATCGTTTTCGCCTTCCTTGTGCATTGATTCCGAAGTGTTTGCAATATTCATGCAAACTTTGGTGCTTTCTATCCCAATGCCCTCACCAGCATTATCATTAATACCCAAATTGTTTATCAGTTTCTTCTTTGAATTATGTCTTGTTAATGCATCAACCTCTTCCTTTATTACTGAATCGGATGATTTCATTCTTCTTGTAGGTGTGTTTTTCATTGCCCATTTAGAAACAGTAATGTGTGACGGAGCTCTTTGCATAAACATATAATCTTCTGATAATGAACATTCTGTTACTGGATTAACAACATATAATTCGTCTGGAGATTTTTCTGTTTCAATATTGTCTACCGTTTGAGATTTTTCTGTTTCAATATTGTTGTCCATTTGAAATTTTTTTGTTTTAATATTGTTTTCCAATTTAGATTTTTCTGTTTCAATATTGTCTTCCATTTGAAATTTTTCTGTTTCAATATTGTCGTCCATTTGAATGTTTTCTGTTTTAATATTGTTTTCCATTTGAGATTTTTCTGTTTCAATGTTGACTTTCATTTGAGACTTTTCTTTTCTAAAATTGTTTTCCATTTGAGATTTTTCTGTTTCAATATTGACTTCAATTTGAGATTTTTCTGTTTTAATATTGTCTGCCATTGTAGATTGTTCTGTTTCAATATTGTCTACCATTTGAGATTTTTCTGTTTCAATATTGTCTTCCATTTGATATTTTTATATGTTACGGTTACCTGACAAAATTCGTTGTCATTTGACTGATATTCAATATTTGTGGCATCATTCGATTCTCGAGTTCTTTTTTGTTGATTTCCTTTTTTGGTAGATATTTCAGTTTCAGACTTATCATTTATATTACACACAAAGACTTTGACATGTGACTGGTTAACAGAATCGTCATCATATGTTTCGTCAACCAAATAAATTACTAAGTGAGTATGTTCTTCTCCTAAGTCTATCTGGTTAGCAGTAGTCTCTTGACAGTTGTTTGTTGCCGAGTCGCTAGTTTTATCTAAGTCTTCAGTAGCATCTCCCGATTATTTTATCTTTCACTGGTGTCTATATTCCGATAATGTTCTACAGAAATGTCTTCCGATTTATCATTATCCTCCATGGTGTTTCTTCGTTGACCCCCTGCTCGTATTAACTCGGTAATATCTCTGATATGACCGACCTCTTTAATAACGAACCGGCTTATTGTTGAAATCTTTCCTAGTTATCAGAGTTCAAGATAATTCACAGTTTTCAATATTTATCTGGACTTTGCAGTCGCATTCGCAAGCGAATTATTTGATGTGGAAACAGGCCAAGGGATTTCCATTCCACTGAAATAGACAACAACACGTTTAGTATACTAATATAAGATGCCTTACATCATACTTTTTGTTAATATCCATTGCGCAGATTGGATTTTTTTACCACCGCATTAACAGCCAAATCATTTTAATCGGTCTAAAATTATAATTAATAGATATGGTGAATATGTGTATTTTATGCGCGCATGGGTGTGTGTTTATGTGTCACTGTTCTTTATATTATTTGTAAATGTCTTGTTATTGTGTCATGCATTCTAATGGCATTATTTGAGACATACCTCGTTTAAATAAATGTCGAATTAAGGATGTTCGCTACTCTTGTTTTTTAAATTCGGAGTGTCTATTCGTCCGGCTAGCCGGACGAATAATTAAAAATCTCTATTCGTCCGGCCATCCGTCTGCGGATGCGCAAATCTTCAATATAAATAAAAGTGTCATGTGACGCGGAAAGTGTCCCGGATGAGGTGTCGGATAACAAACGCGCGTATGCAATGGACGTTTTGAGAATCGGAGATCGTGATTTATATTTAACGATGCCATAAAGAAAACAAAAGAAAATGTGATTGCTTTAAACAAATTTCTATAGGAGTGATTCCAGAACAATAGCGTATACATGTTAACTGTGAGGAATAAGCCTGAAATCAAAGTGAAATTGATGATTTACCCCCATTTACCTTATGGAGGCAAAACGCATTCAGAAAAATACTATATCAAACTTGCTTGGATGCATTTTTTTAAAGTTATACTACTACGGAGATCTATGAAAATGCACTGATATGCCTGGACTGGGAATATGACACCAGGGTTGGGGTATCCCCCCTTTTTTCTGTTGTATCTAATAATCATTTTTTTTTAAATTCTATCGAAAACCCAATCCTACTTTTGGGGACATGTTACACGTGCCTACCCTTTTCTCTAATTTCCTATGAATTAAAAATCGCCGAACAATTTAAATGAAGAATCGTGCATAATCATTTCAGGACCTTACTTTAATCAAACTACACAGAAACAATAAATTCAGGATCTTTTGGAATCATAGATGTCTAATGAAGCCAATAATCATTGGCCCGACTATTTACCTTACAGGAAATAAGGCAGAACAACAAAAGAGAGAATCATTTTTGCCCCCCACCCCACCCCCATCCCCAAATTCCTTTATATATATATATAGAATAAAAAAATCTGAATCAAATGTATAGTTTATTTTTTTATTTGAATGAGTTCTTTTTCATAAAACGATGTTGGACAATATATTTTAAAACTACTCATGCTTTATCCATCTCCTTCAAAACACGATGTTATATCTTCAGCATTATATTTTGGCCGGACAAATAGCGAAAAACCGTAAAAATGCTATTTGTCCGGCTTGCCGGATGAATAGACATTTTTGACTATTTGTCCGGCTAGCCGGACGAATAGCCACTGCCTTTTAAACTTTTGTCAGACATTCGGAATCCTCTAGATTATCCATGTAGTGCCAATAGAAGTTTTGCCCGCTAACCCCTACTTTTCTTTTCATAATTTAATTACATATAGTTTTAAAAGTCATTTATGGAAATCCTATAAAGTCCTTGTTATTTTTTCATAGTTTTTGAAAGAAAAAAATTTGAGGAACACATATATAAGCGGCTGAAAAAAAGTGTAAAATGCATTTATATCTTATAATGAGTTATAAGGTATCGTTATAGTACAAACATTTCTTGTAAACAAATCAATGTTTATAACACAAATAACACAAATATATTAGTAATACAAAACTTATTAAGTACTAGTATATCCTTCTATAATATAAGTATAATAACATTCTGGCAAGAATTGTACACATGAGAGCGCTAACAATGCAATTTTCCATATAATCAATATTTCCAAGGGAAATAACTCTTTTAAAAATAATTGATCGGCACTGATTTTCAAATTTGTCTGAGACATTGATGATATAAACATTTAACATAAATTTCATAAAAATCTGGCAAGAATTGTACACATAACAATGCAGTTTTTCATAAAAATCAATATTTCCAAAGGGCATAACTCTTTTAAAAATAGTTGATCTGCACTGATTTTCGAACTCGTCAAAAACATTGATGATATAAACCTATGATATAAATTTCATAAAAATCTGGCAAGAATTGTACACATTAAAGCGCTGATAAGGCAATTTCCCATATAATTAATATCTCAAAGGGGCATAATTCTTGTTTAAAAATACTTGATCGGCACTGATTTTCGAACTTGTCCAAGACAATGCTAATATAAACCTATGATATAAGTTTCATAAAATCTGTCAAGAATTGTACACATGTAAGCACTAAAGATACAATTGTTCATATAATTAATGTTTCCAAGGGGCATAACTATTTTAAAAATACTTGATCGGCACTAATCTTCGAACTCGTCCAAGACATTGCTGATATAAACCTATATGATATAAGTTTCATAAAAATCTGGCAAGAACTGTACACGTGAGAACGCTAACATGACCGGACGGACGGACGCCCGGTATTTCTTTGTCCCCCGCAATGCGTTGCGCGGGGACAATAATCTCATGCTTGTGTCTTTATATTTATCAAATGTATATTGCGAATTTGTATTACATTCCTGAAATATTGGATTAGAAAACTATGGAATATTCGTGATGGTACTCTTTTGTACAAAGCAAGCAGGAATTAGATTAAATGTGTCTGAAAATGTAACCAATATGAAGCTTGCAACCAAATATCAAGAACCTCTGATTTGTAGTTCATGAGAAAAAAGTAAGACTGAAATGTGTTATGGGCTGAGGTACTGACGGACACGGAAGCATGAACGAACAGAAGAGGTGATATATTACATCTCATCTCATTTGAAAATGAAGTGTTATTGCTCGATATCCCGGATGATATATCATTTGAAGGAAGAAACATTGCACTGTAAGAATATACTTGGCGTAAGGTTCAGATATGGTCACGTTTTTTTCAAAAACTAAGACCAAAGGTCAACTTTACCGAACTTAGAAAATTTTGGTGGAATTAAATTTTGTAAAATTTTCCCTTTTCCACATTTGGTCTTATAACACACTTATATTTGTTTGGCTTTAGTACAATGTAATGGTATTTTTTTCTTTAAACAACTTAATATTAGATATCTATTAATACACACTTACTAAAACAACGTTTATATATGCAAAAAAAAAATGTTTTCAACCATGCAGATAAAGTCTCAGCAGATTGTATCAGACCAGCAGCAGTAACACAGTAAGGTTAAGTATGACCTGAAGTAACACAATAAGGTTAAGTATGACCTGAAGTAACACAGTAAGGTTAAGTATGACCTGAAGTAACACAGTAAGGTTAAGTATGACCTGAAGTAACACAGTAAGGTTGAGTATGACCTGAAGTAACACAGTAAGGTTGAGTATGACCTGAAGTAACACAGTAAGGTTAAGTATGACTTGAAGTAACACAATAAGGTTGAGTATGACCTGAAGTAACACAGTAAGGTTGAGTATGACCTGAAGTAACACAGTAAGGTTGAGTATGACCTGAAGTAACACAGTAAGGTTAAGTATGACCTGAAGTAACACAGTAAGGTTAAGTATGACCTGAAGTAACACAATAAGGTTAAACGTGACCTCATAATGATTTTGTCGTATTTTTTTAACAAAAATTTGTTTTGCTGCTTCTTTAAAACTGTTTCCTACTGGGTAGTGTAATCAGTTAAAAGTCTTTTTTGTTGTCAGTATAACTACCTTACATTCATACTATAGGAGTCTCATCCCTTGCCTGTTGCAACGTACTACAAATTTTCAAAGTTTCCAGGTCCGTACTCAATAATCGGCATTTCCGTGATCGATTACAAGCATGATTTTATGGTACCCCATATTTTAGTTGCATGGTACGAACAAAAGTCTGAACATGGCGGAGTATGCTCGAGGCAAACACATTCTATTGAATTTTACAATAACACATTTTTTAGAAACGATATTAACCAAAAAGTACCAACAAAGTTCGATAGAAAGAGAGACAACACAACCAACAACAACCGACTCCGCCAGAAAATTAAAAGTTCAGACTACAGCGATAAATGAGTGAGGATTTCAAAAGTTTTACATGCCGTAAAAAATTCCACATTTGCCTTTCTATACCACACATGGTCAAAGTAAAACACGCAATGGAAAAAACATTGTTAAGCTTAACTATGAACTTTCAACAACTTTGGGTTGGATATGGACACTCATAAAACTAGAGGATTTAAAGAGCATATGTCGCTAACCTAGGTCTAATAGTAGGGGATTCTTCAACCATGGACCCTATCCAACATGGAGGAATCAAATAGAATTCACGACAAAGATATCTTTTTTGTTGATCTGGTATTGCTGATCATGTTATCTGTTTACAGTTTTCTCTATCCTCTCTAGTTTTCGCAAGGGTAAAACATCGTCATTTAATAGTTATCACTCCTATCAAGAGTTTATTAACGATTTCGGCAAAATTTTACTTATTTGTAGATCTTGTCTCGCTGATCATTCTTATTATTTTTAGTGTCTATCTTTCTATTATAGTTTTCAAGATAAAAGTCAAAAACACTAAAAATAGGTAAAAAGAGCAACATATCCAAAAATGTACCGGAATAACACACACCTATATTGCATATCGATGGAAAGAGGAAAATGTGTACAATAAGGAATGTTTGGTCATAAAAGCCCAGAATGGTCAAATATTTGTAAAATTGAGGTAAAAGGTCAAACCTCAAATATAATTATCACAAATTCAAACACGAAGAAACAAGAAGGAATTTTCTAAATTATATTCAGTAGAATGCTACAAAAACGATTTAATCAAAAGCATAAACTACCAAGGATGTCAAAACGACAGTTTTAACTATTTGTATGAACAGCTGCCATTACAAAATGGGGTTAATGATGAAACTTCTGATCTTTTTTTCATTTATGACAAAGAAAGTATAGATGTGGCATGACCTTTTCACGTCCATTAACTTTTACATTGCTTATTATTTGCAGTGGCGGATCC